GTCCTCTAAAAGCCAATGCTATCTTATTTTACTAAATAAACTTGATTAAAAAAAGAATTAAAATAATGAGATTTGAATATATGATAGTTTCATTATTAAGATTTTAATATTATATTAAAGAATTATTTCAATAAAAAAATTAAATTATTAGATGAGACTTAATATATGATTTGTGTTATTGTCTAAAATACACAGTAAAATGTTCCTTGTATTATACTCTTAAATAGATGTAAAGAAACATGTTAGGTTTCTACTGGTTTTAATTTCAGAAAACAAATATTGATTAAGAATTTAAAAAAATTATGAGAACTTTATATGCATTTTTTATTTTTATTTTTTAATTTATTGTTTTTACTTTATTTTAGAAAGCCAAAATATGACTAAAACATTGCTTTTTATTTTTTTTATTTATGTTGAATTTCATAATATTTTTTTATAAGTTCTTATGTATTTATAAAAAAAATTCACGATAGAAATTAAATTGAGAAATCATATCTATGAAAAGAAAAATACATGTGTACTCCTTCAAGCGTGTTTCATGAATAAATTCACAATCATTCTCTCCATTATATGTGATTTACAAGGCCCAAAATACTCACTATAGAATTTTGCTAATTAATTTAAGATAAAAGAACTTAATCAAAATTTCCTTATTTTTTTAAATAAAATCAAAACTCTGGGGAGTGCGAGCAAAAAATTTGAAAAAAAGAGAGAAGAGATTCCATATGTATATAATTAAATAAAAAGAAATGGCAAAATTATTTAAGCAATTTTTTTAATTTTTCTTTTAACTCTAATCAAAATTTTCTCTAAAATTAGAACCAATAGAAAGGAATCTAACATGTATCCCTCTCTATACCTTTAAAAGTTAAAATTAACGATTATTTATATCAATTATAAACGGGGAGACATATGTTATCTAATGGAACAAACCATATAGATTTAATTTCTCCGATTAAAACTAAAAGGGAGTCTTAATTATATCATAATTACGTCTAGAATAACTAAACCCACCAATATATCAATATCACAGCTAGGCGTGAGAGAATTAATAATGCATCAGAACGAGCTTGAATTTGTTTATAAAATTAAAGGGTACTTAAACGAAAAGAAACAATGATTAAACTATAAGCTACCAACTAATCACGCATGAACGCAGCCGTCCCAGTCCCTGCTAGGCATGTCGGTATTTTTATTTTATTTTTTCTAGCATGTATTATCAATGTTATCACACCAACTTCTCACTCAATTAACATACTGTCAATTATAAAATCCAACTTAATCTTTTTTTAATTATTTGCTTTTGATCATCCGAGCCCAATGTTTTTACACAGTCTAACTTTGATTTAATCAAGTAAAAACAAGAAAAACATTACTAGAAGCAGCCGACGGCCTTGCTATGTACATGGGACGGCCGTTCCATTTTTCCAAAAAGACGACGGTCGGTGCACTTGGCTGTCTGCTTTTTGGTAAGACATGTTTAGGCAGCTCATTAATCTATAGGATAAAAATAATCGACGACGGCCAATGCATGGCATGGTAAATGTGTGCGTGTGCAATCTATATCTTAATCCATAGGTATTGACTTCGTGCTTTTGTAAATTAGTCATACATGGAGCAGACGTGTGTGTGTCCTTGATTTGTGATGAGCAGACGGCCAATGACGCGGCCGTCTTTGCAATCTTGATTTTTTTAATTCTAATTTTATCAATAAAATCTAAATTAATTTTTATTAAAATTAATTTAACTCATTAAAAATATAATCAAATTCTTATACATAATTAATATTTAATTTAAATTATAATTAAATTATATTAACCTATTAAAAATTTAATTATTTTTTAAATTTAATTTTTATACAAATTTATCTAATAATTATTTAATTAGATCTTAAATCTGTATTATTTTTTTAATTTTCAGATACAATGAAATAACAATTAAACTTCAAATTTCACTCAAAATTCTAACTTGATTATTCTATATATTTTTGAGACCTTCTCTGCTAATTTTATCAGATTATTAGTTTTTTGTTATTATTATTTTTTATTTTTTACAGGAAAAAAGATAAATTTAGGAAATAATACAAAAATAAATTATGATAGTTATAAGAATTATGAATGAATAATTAAATTTAATCAGTTTAATTTTAATAAAAATTCATGTTATGTGAATCATTGTGTGAATTGGGAATGAACTGTGACCAAAGTGTTTTTTCCCCCCCGGGCGGCAGGGGATTTCTAAATAATTCCCGGAAAACTCCGTAGAAAATCGGCATCCCACGCGTTAGTTACTGGGGCATTTGGAGAAAAGAATGGAATGGGCCGTCTAATCTACAGTGTGTAAATTGTTTTAGCTGTGTTGGTGCCGCAGGTCGCTTGTACCTCAACCGCGCTCATGTCCCCTTTTCAAAAGACACCTCCGGTCAACCTCCTTTTCCAACTGAAATAAATACGTGCTTCGATATTTATAACTGCATGAGTCATCACATGCAAACTTAAATGTGTTGCAAGTTTCTTCGTGTTTTTTTTTAAGAAGAGATTTGTTTTGTTTTTTTTTCTCCAGAAGAAGAAGTCTATTATTTATTTTTATGGATTATGGAATATTGCAACCATGTGGCTAAACATTTATTTTTTCATCTCAATTAATTTTATTCTAAGAAATCTCTCAAGAAATCCAAAAAAAGGAAGATTATTTTCAATGAAAAAAGATGGGTTTTAAATTATTTTGCTTACTATTATTTCTTTGAAATAACGACACACAACCATTATTAAGTTGCTCTATTTCTTTTTTTATGGGCATATACCTGTATTTTTAAATTGTACACATTGAGTTAATTGCTTCTTCTACACAAAAACGTTATTACCGTTTCATGATTTAACCTTCTTTCATTAGTCAGATTGGTTCTAACATTGTGTGTTATATGCAAAATTAAAATAAATGAGAATGCACAAATCTGCTCAGAAAAAAAAAAAACAATACGGAATTATTCAGAGGAAGCTAAAAAAAGAAGGAGAGGGTCCTGGTGACCCGATCCAAAGAGTGGGGGCATGGTGAGAGAAGAGTCGTCTTTGGAGTCGGCAGCCATAAAGTTTGGCCGGTCAAACTCCTTGGCTTCTCTACCCCATGCGATGAACTGCTTGTGGGCGTACACTCCACACTGGAATCTCAAGTTTTAGATTCCAGCTGGGATCCTTCCTGAATAGGAAATTTGTTATGCGCCAGCCTCCTTTCCCAAAGAACACACTACCATCCGAATAAAAGAACAAAAAGAAAATCAAACAACAAAATTATATTCCCATTGTTACTTTCTTTGTATTTGAAGCAACTAATATATTCCCTATCTCTAAATTTCAACTAGTTTCATGATCTCTTTACAAAGTACTGCAAAAATTTAAGAATAAAGGGAATCCTAATGATAGCCGCTGGGAAAGATCGCCGAAGAATGAAAACTCACCTCATCATCCTCGCAGGGGTTTACGGGAGACAATGTGATGGCAAGAACACCAATTGAAATTCGTGAGAAAATATATATGTGGCACCATCACATCGGTTACCAATCAAACCAATGACTCATTACCATCTAATGAGCTGGATGAATTCTTGGGATCTTTCAACTTCCAATCCTCTTCGTTGTGGTCAGCATCGTTAGATACATTTCCAGTTAGTTCCTTGGCTCTCTGGGCTTGGCATTCCCAATCTGTTCTAGCCAGAACGAACAACATGGTCACGACACATGAGCCCTGGGCAGCTAACAAACCCAACCAGAGTCCTTTGAAATCAAAGCCAGCATAAAAACTCAACCAAACAGCAACAGGCATGCCCACAAGGTAAAAGCATCCCAGATTAATATTCGCACCCATTTTAGGCCTTGCCGTGCCTCTCAAAACACCACAACCTGTTGTTTGCGGGCAATTTCCAAGCTCACAAAGGCCAATTATAGGCAAAACCATTGATGTCAATGCAATAATCTCTGCATCTTGAGTGAACATGCTAGCCCAAATCTTCCTCACCATGACAGCAAAACACAATGCTGCAAATCCCAAGACAAAGCTTGAAGAGAGACCAACAGTAGCAGCAAGCTTGGCCTTTTGAGGATTATTAGCACCTAGTTCATTGCCAACTCTTGTTGACACACCAAAGCTTAAAGAAGATGGGAAAATGTATATAAAAGCTGTGGTTTGAATTAAGATTCCCATTGAAGCAACGGTAGCTGTTGGATTTAACAATAGCCCACAGAGTAAAATCATGATCTCATACCACCACCATTCAAGGCAAACCGAAATGCAGCTTGGAATTGCCAAATTCAATAAAGATCTCCACCCTTTTAAGCATTCCAATGATATCCCACCCCAAGTTTTCTTGTACACGCCAGAGATCATAACGTAAATGACCAATGATCCTACAAGACTGAAGTTAGTCCAAACTGCGCTTAACGCAACGCCTTTGATTCCAAGATTGAATACGGAGACAAGAAGGTAGTTAACAGGTATGTGAAGAAGAATAGAAAGGGTTGCACAAAATGTTAGAGGCAGAGTAATTGACTGACTCCTGAGATATATACGCAAAGGATGCAAAATGGATTGAGCAACAAGGTCAGGGAGAGAGTAAAGAATGTAGAGTTGTGCTTCCGTGGAAATATCATCTTCTTGACCACAAAAGAGAAGGATCTTTTTCATGTTGAACCACAATAAAGCAATAGGGATGGAAACTAGAAAAAGCAAAAGAATTGTTCTTTGCAAGGCGAGGCCAAGAAGTTTGTATCTTTTGGCACCAAAAGCCTGTCCACAAATGGGTTCCATTCCCATGGAAAGACCGGAGAGAATAGAGTAGCCAGTGATGTTAGCAAACCCAATTGCCAGTGAGCCACCTGCTAAAGCCAGTTCTCCTTGGCGACCGAGAAAGAGCATGGAGATCATGGAGCGAGAATATAGTAAAAGACCAGTTAATATCATTGGAAGTGCTATGTTGGCTATGCATCTTGCCTCTCTGATTGCAAGAGCGAGGTGAGTCCTCTGTTGATTTTCAAATGTTGGGTCCTTGGGGATCAAAGCGGTTATTAGCCTGTCAGATTCCTGTACTTTGGATGATGGGTCCATTTTGCATTTGCAAGAATGAGAAGGTGAAGATAACTGGCACATACTTGTGGACTTAATCGAGAGAGAGGTGGGGAGAGGTGATTTGGGGTTTTGGGGGATTTGAGGGAGGGGAGTCAAGGAGAGGTTTAAATGGAGAGCTTGTTTGGGCACGTATGGACATAGTGATCTTTACTCCCTAGACGGCTTTTTTAGACCGATAGAAAAAGAAAATTAAAAAACAGGAGGCAAGGAGGGATATTTATTACTTTGTCAGAATTTAAGTTTCAAGTTCCAACCGAGTCTTGGAAACCTTTCCAGGCGTCCTTTTATGACCGACCACGGTGACAATGTCGGGGCCTGGAAAGGGGAAAGTCATCCCAAAAGGCAGAGAGAGAGATTATGTGATGACAGCTTCAGGGGTGACAAATGGGGTTACAACAGGTGTCAGGTATTTATGAGAATCAGTAACTCCATGATTTCTCAATTAATTAGTTCTTGGCATAACCACAAATACCTAAAGTCTAAAGAGGGCGTGCGAGCGTTCTTATTACAAGGCATGAAGAATGTTTTTGCGCCTTGAACGCGCAATGAAGAGGATAGGCTCGGGGTTGTTGTCAACAGAGACATATTTAAGTGGTGGACGGTTACATAAATCGGACCCGTTCTGGAATACTAGGGATCGAGCTTATACCATTGAGCTGGCATCTATAATTTGTTTGCTGGCCACATCAATTCCCTGTTGGCATGAGTTAAATGATTTGTCTCAAATTAGTGCATTATGTCTCATTTTGCGGGACTCCACATGTAATAATACTATGGATCCAACCAAAGTTGATTGAAGGACGAGACCTTTGAGTTGATGTAAATGGGGGAAATTAACATAAAACCACTTAATATTTAACACCATCCTCTCCTCGGAAGATGTTTCAAATTTGAAATCCTTAAAATGTTTTTACTCTTGCAAATGTACCGAAAGAGACTAATTAAGGTCAAATTCAGTTTATAAGTAACTTGAGATATCAAGAAAGTAGGTTTTTTGTTTTAAGTAGGTCAAGGAAGGAGGTTACCTTGTTACGTTTTGCCAAGAACAATAAGTCTCTATGTAAGCATGATATTGGTGTCCAAAAAAAAGAAAAGAAGCCCCTGTCAGTTTTTGTTAGCCATTCCATCAATATTTAAATCACCAAAATAATATTTTCTCGTTGGTTTCATTGACAAAACCTAAACATTGCTTATAAAATTGCCAACAAAATCCCAAGATTGACAATAAAATTTCATCATTGATTTTGTAAAAAAGTGCTAAAACTTCTTAATTATTCTGTAAATTTTCAATGAAATGAGTTCTATATTGTTAATGAAATCATGGATATATTTTTTTCCTTGAAAGTTTAATATTTTTGAGTTATTTAAAAAAATTACAAGAAAAAAGCTTTATTAATTTTATTAGACATAAAAAATTTATTAAGTTTAATATTAATTTAAAAATAATTTTATAACAATCAACATATCATATCGATACACAAATAAAAATAAAAATAAAGGGAGGACATGTTGAGGGAAAAAAGAAAAAAAAAACCTCTTAGAAGCGGGGTCATGTATAGCCATATATGACTTCATTTTTTCTCGATTATTTTCTATTTTCTTCTTCTAATTTCGCTCAATCTATATTCTATGACCCTCGTATTAAATTCTGACGTTGATTGGCTTAACCAAGTTGTTGTGTGTCTAGATTCAAAGCAGGAGGACTCGGTCTCATTTCTCCGACTATCAACCACAACAAGTGAGGTCTTTTGTTAATTGCATGATAGGGATAGAATACAAATCCAAGATTTTAAAAGCTTCGGAATATTATCACTGAACAAAATACCAATCAGCGTACGTGCAGGGTGCATCAAGCTTCGAATTAATTTCAATATTTCCTGATCTATTATTGTCTGAACCAGCAACTTTGATTTCTAGATAGCCATAAGCAGTCAGGGACATTCTGCTAATCTTTCATTTAATAATTAAGGCGGTTAAATAAACTAATTAAGAGAAACATGCATTGTCTATCATCTCTTGACTCGTTAAAACCTTTTGAGATCAAAGTTGCTGGTGTTAAATATAAGAAAGGAAAATGTTAGGGTTTTATTGATATTGTATAATGTAATTAATTAAAATAATTAAAAAAATAAATTCAATCTAAATGTAAGAAAATTATACATAAACTAAATAAAAAAACTAAAAGAAATATAAAGACTGCCCTATTTTTAATAAATAATAAAATAAAATAATCCTATATTTTTTAACAGCTAATCTAAGTAGATCAACTAATCCGTCAATACCCACAGAAAAACGAATTTCTCCGCCACTAACGTCGGTGTAAACAAGAGAAATTAATTTACTTGCAATATTTTATCAGAAGCATGAATATTCTTTGAAGTGGAAATTTGCACACCTGACCTGAATATTCTAGCACAATATTGGAGCAGCCATTTTCAACAGTCTACAGTGTTTTGAAATTTTGCTGCAGAAAAGAGTGGCTGTTTCTAGACGTGTACGTAACGACCGGCGGTGTGATTGGCTGCTAGTGGTGCCCAATTAAGAGCTCCAGGAATTTTCTCGAGTCAATTTGGCACGATGGAAAACAAATTTCTTTTTAATTGATATTTAGAGAGAAGTTGAAATAGTCAAATCCGTTAAATATTTCTTGAAATTAATTATCAATTCTTTTTCATTTTTTAAGTGATATAAAATTTAAAATTATTTTTTGAATGGTTTTAATTTATTAATATTAAAAATAAAATTTTAAAAATAAAAAATATTACTTTAATATATTTTCAAGTAAAAAACTTTTTAAAAAATAAATATTATCATAAAAAAATATATCCATCACTATCAGCTATATATATCACATTAAAAAACAATTCAAGGGTTGAATTAACATTTAACCATAACATTTACAGCCAGATTCACTCTCAGAATCATTCTTAAAATTATTTTTACTATTATTATTTACTGTTTATATTATCCTTTTGTTCTTAAGAAAATTTGTTCAACAGTCACAACCCCAGCTTTTCAAAACTATATTGTTTGGATTAGAAAAAATTGAAACCAGTTTTAAAAATTTTACGAACAAACAAACAAATCTTCAAGGCAAAGTATAAGTCTTTGCTTGTCATGGACTCGAAGCCCATAGGCTGGAATTCAAACTGGCTTTGAGCCTTGTTTTCTATTGTAAAGAAAAAAAAACTCACACAGTAAACAATTCTAACACAAAAGCAGATCCAAGTCCCCAACAACTTGAAGGCAAATTAACTCAATCAGTTCCAATATATTGAAAATTCCTGATCCACAACGCATACAAAGCCTTACTAAGCAAGTCTCAGAATAAAACAAGAAATAAATTCAATAAAATCCTGTTAGGAAAACTCGGAACAACCGGACATCAATTTCAAACTTAGCATCATCTTCATAAAAATACTTGCTCCAGTGAGGATGGTCGCGCCACACAGTGGTCATTTCTTCAATTGGGACACCTTTTGTCTCAGGCAGCAGTTTGTATATGACGATGCTCATGACAATCACACAGACAGCAAAGCAAATAAATAAACCGACTTCAAGTGACAAAGCATTGCCGTGAAGATTTGTGCGATTACGAAGGTGAAGATCATGTTTACAGAAACAGTGATACTTTGGGCAGCTGAACGGACTTCCAGTGGGAAGATCTCACTAGGCACTAACCAACCTAGAGGTCCCCAAGACCAAGCAAAGGCGGCAACATAAACACATATGAAGACTACCACGGTACAAGCATATCCATTAGAAATCACACCTGGGTTTGCACTCGATCCAAACTTCATAGCAATGGCAATTGTTATGACAATCTACAAAATAAGAGAGAAAATTAAAAGAGCAAAACTTATGAGCCGCGTGCATTTCAGAAACGCAAAGAATTGAAGAAAGATAAATGGGAATCTCGAATGTATGGTGGAAAGAAGAGATGTGGTAACAAACCTGGGAAACGAGCATTTGGAGACCACCGTAGAGGAAAAGCTTTTACCTTCCAAACTTATCCACCGTTGAAATTGAAACAAAAGTTGCAAGCATGTTAACAATACCAGTAATGAGAGAAGAAAAAAGAGAAGCATTGCTCCCAAAACCAATGGTGTTGAACAGAATAGGTGCATAAAACACGATCAAGTTCATGGCAGTGAGCTGTTGAAACATGGGAATGCAGAACGCAAAGAAAAGCTGAGGCCCATACTTCCTTTTAAATATGTTTAACCAAGCATGTTGGACCAATTGTGCTTTCGCACTAGCCTCGACAAGATCATTGAACTCCTCATCAACATTATCAACCTTGCGGAGCTTAAGAAGTTGTTCTTTAGCTCTATCATAATTGCCTCGTTCTACCTCGGAATTCGGAGTATCAGGAAGAAGGCATGATCCTACAAAAATTATCAGACCAGGAACTATCGCGCCACCCAAGCTCAAGCGTCATGCCATTTCTCCTTCAATCCACTTAGCAAAGGCAAAATTCAAAAAATTGGGGATGAGAATACCAATTGTGATAAACAATTTGAACGTCATATTGAGAGCACCTCGATATTTACAGGGAGCCACTTCAGAGAGATAAATTGGCACTGACTGTATACAAGAACAAGTATAAAACATATATATATCATTGGCACACTCTACATCACGAAAATCTTAAAAATTTGTTCTATCATGAAAAAGAATGAATTTATGGTATCTTATTTTATTTTTTTAATTGAAAATAATATTATTTAATAAATCATTATCTAATATTATTGTCACTAGTAACTTTAACTATTTAACAAAAAATTTATAGTATAAGATTGGTTACATAAAAAAAAAATATTATTATCCTTTAAATGTTTTGCATGAAGCAGATTGCATTATTGATTTTGTTTTAAATTGCTAAACGTTTCTTAGTTTATATTATGATAATTTACTTATAATATTCCTGATTTTGATGTTAATGAATATTCAACTACGAGTACTTTAAACTCTGGTGTTGATAAATATTATGTAGTTATAAAATAAATTTAAATTAATATTTTTATTTCTGACTCTAGCATGAGTTAATAAATAAATAAGATAATTTTTTTTACTCATCCATATTTTATTTTAGCTAAATGAAATAAGATACAATATAATAAAATAAAAATAAATTTAAATTAATATTTTTATTTCTGATTCGAATATCAATAAATAAACTAATAAAATAAATTTATGTTATTTTTATTTATGCATACATGTATTTTTTTTTTTTAGGTTGCACTAAACCCAACCGGTTCAATCTGGTCACTGGACTAAACCAGTGACCCGGCTAGGTAGCCTGCTACAGAAACAAGAATGAAGTGAATTATAATTCACTTGCTACAGTATAAAATGAACTATAATTCACTTGTTACTGTTACTGTAGCAAGGAATTATAATCCACAGCTACTGTAGCTGTGTATTATAATGCAAAGGAGAGAAGGACTTACCTGTGGTCTGCTGCTCCTGAAGATGAAGACGAAGTTGAGGGCGGTCGGTGCTAATCCTTTTTTTTGTTCCTTCTCTATTCTTCCTCCTCCTTTCTTTTGTGCTTCTCTTGTTCTCCTTCACGTCTGTTTTTTTTCTCTTCGTCCTCCTGCGTTTGTCTCCTGTTTCCCTTCATTTTCACGGCCTTCTCTGTGCTTCTTCTCATCTTCTCCTTCGCTCTTCTTCCCCTTGTTTTTTTCTCTGTTTTGTTCTCTGTTAAACCTCTTGTTCTGGGTCTGTTTCTCGTCTGTCCCCCTGTTTGTTCTTTTCTCTAGCTTTTATCAAGCCAGCAAACGTGGAGATGATCTTGGAAGTGAGCAATAAAACTGGGGGCTTGGACTGCATCGTGTCCCACGATCTGCAGTTGCAGATTTTCTGCTGAACCGGTCTCCCTTGGGTGAGGAAGAAGGTGGAGAATAAAGGATACAGAAACGGTGCCATTTTCAACTTTCCCCCTAAACTTATAACATTTAACAATTAGGTCCCTGATTTCATTAGCTAAACATTTCCAGTTTAATTAAATCCCAAAACTTCCAATTTATATTGTGTTGCCCAAATTTCAATTTATTTTTTATTTTTATCATTTCACACACATTTGTTTTTAATAAAATAGAAAGAATAAAAAAATTGGGTTATGAGAATCTGTTTGAACAAATATAAAACATTAAATATCATAAAAAAAAACTTGGGAGTTTAAGATTTCGGGGTTTTCAATATATACACATTACTACTAAATGACAATGATAGTTTATAAAAAAGAACAAACTTGAAAAAAATTTTTTACCTGATTGGCGCATCCAATGCCGAAACCAAGTAACAGCCGACCAATAATAAGCATGGGAACATTCATGGCTAAGCCATTAACGATAGCACCAGCAGCGAAAAGTAAGCCACTAGTCATCATCGTAGGTCTCTGTCCATACTTACGAGTTTGCCATGGATGCAAATATGGACGAAACAAGGGCAGCTAGATATAGTGACGAAGTAAACAACGTCAATATCTGGCTATCAAACTTGCAGTATTGATCATCTGACGGTTTGACAGAGGACTCCCCCTAGTAAACATCGGGAAAGAATTTCTTCAAGAAAACATGCATAGATGTTACACCACCTGTACAGTTAATAATTATGTTTTTTTTTTTT